TTGGCGCGACACGCGTCGCCCACTGGCGCAGCGAATTACGATTCTCTTGCCACATACCCATTTGACGGCGTGCTCTTACTTCGGCTTGTTCTCTACCTGTGACTGTATATTCGTTGGTGAGTCTCGGAAACGGCGCTACCTGCGGGGCTCTAAGAATAGCGCGGGCAGAACAAGCGCAACAAGAACTGCATTCGAAAGTGAGTGTGCAGTTTGTCTTCAGACTTAACTTCTAAATAAATAACCTTCGAGTTTTCAACTTATAATTTCTAATGAACACGTCCTCAGATGCCACAGTGCGATGCAATTTCGGACCGAGGCTCCATCACCTGCCACCAGGAGCGCTGCCCATGTGTGCCAGAGTGGAACAGCTCAATGTGGAGCAAACCCTAAGTGATATCATATTTCTTGTTTCAAATGGGCATGTGTAATTTACTCAACGATCTCAACTGCTCAAAACGTTTTGCACACTTTTTCTAGTTTTTGTTGTACATATGTAGATTGCTAATTTATCATGATTGTTTTCCGTTTGGCAAATAAAAATTACTTTCTTCCAGTTTGGTGGCTGAACTGTAATTTTTTCATGAATACTGACTGATAATTGATAAAAATTGCAAGTAGTTTTTTTGCTTCGCAATTTTTAGTTCAGTGTATGCAGTCTGCTCTACGTGGTCTGACCGGGAAAATGATAAAAGTGATTCCAATTAGAGCTCTAGAGGACAATTATATGTATTTGGTGTACAGCGAGAAAGATTCAAAGGGTTTCGCTGTGGATCCGGTCGAACCGCAAAAAGTCAAGGAAGTCGCCGAAAACTGCAAGGTAATCGCGCCTTTTTTAGAAGCTTTTGGTCGCTTTTTGATTAGAGGAGATCTTGTTAACTCACCTAGAAATCTTAAAACAAGATGTGGGTTCTTAAATATTCGACTCTTCTTGAATTCTCATTTTTATTATGGCGGCGTCTTACCTGGGATCCCGAAAGAGGGAATAAATGTTTTTTGGCGTGATTGATTTTTCTCCCGTTTACCCTTCCCCTGTTTACCGCCCATCCTTTCGTAGCTTTTTCTTCGGGCTCGACAGCAGTTTCCAGGGGGGTAAATGAAGTAAATTTGGTAATGACTACGGTCAAGTGGTGGAATGGAAATTCAGGGACAGTGGCAGGTGAGAGGAATTTGGCTAAGTGTCGGCACAGGTAGAAAGCTGTGGGGAGGGGTCGTTCTCCTGCAAATTGGACGCCACTGTAGAAGGTGTCCTAAAATTTGTCGTCCACTCGGTCTAGTTTTTTTGTATGAAATTTTTGTCCTTCCTAATTCATGTAGTAAAACTACTCTGCATGACATCGGGAACAACCCGTTATAGAAGTGAATCTTTGAGCAAAGGATTGTTACTTATGAAACCTCGGCACTTAACAGACCAGATGCGGATGGTTGACATTCCTTTTTGCAGTTTTGAAGCTCGTGAATCACTAATGAATAATCCGATAGACTGAGTACGAGTGTATGCGGCCAGAAAGATAGATGCATAGCATAACGAGGCATGCATACCTCTCCGTCGTCTCCAAACTCTCAGTGTTTTAAGTGATAAGCACTTATTTCCCATAGCAACAGCATTCTTATGATAATTCTGCTTCTTTGCATTCTATAATTACGTCAAGGCCAGATCGATTAGCTCTTGGGTACGGCGATATCCATTCAATGGCGTAGATTTCCTAAACCTCTAGCGAGAAAGTGTTCAGGAGATCAACCTCCACATTCAAAATTTAATCACATGGCAGACAGAGAAAGGGGCTAAGTGCTCGAGTAACCTTTCTACAACTGCTGCTGTGCAAGCCTGCGCCATTTCAAATCTTATTTGAAGCGGACAGTATAAAGCAGAATGAAAGCTGGTAATTAGTCCTCATGAAGCCTTGCGCTCAAAGTTTTCTTCGTTCATCAAGATTTTTCCGATCCTGTTCAGAGAGTCTGGATATTTGTCCTTTACCTATTTCCTTACCATAGCCGCAGAATGAATGGGCATCCCAAACTTGTCTTACGCTGGTTTACTACAGTCTGCAGCCAGAATACTTGTTCGATAGGAATAAAACAAAAGTTCAAAGTGTAACGTTTCACTACCTGAAGTGTACCTCGGCGAGTGCATCGTAGAGTGAGAAATTGGTCAGCAGGTTGCTGTAAAATTGCGCAGAGATTTTGCCTGTTTACGTCATGGTATTAGAGCATAGGTCCATTTATGACCTTTTAAACCCGATAGCGAAATACACCTGATTTTTTATAGAGCATGAGTCTTCATTTTCCTCTGTGTTATGTGATTGCCATTAGGAACTGAACTTCGCTGCCGCTGTACTTGCTTTTGGTGTAAACTTCTGAGTTTAATTGCCAAAACTTTATCATCCAAATTAATTTTTTTTCTGAGCTTGCTCAAATTACCTTTTTCTGTGCACACTCTCTCAAGTACTCTTAGGTCACTGTGGCAGCGGCACTTGTCACTCACCACCACTGGGACCACGCAGGGGGCATGTCCGAGTTCAGAAAAATTTGGAAATCAGATGAAGCTGAAATATATGGTGGTGACGAACGGATTGATCATCTGAACAATAGGGTTGATCATGAAGAGAAGTTCCAGGTTGGACAGATGGAGGTAAGACGTTTTTTGTGGTTTCTATTTTTTTTGCTTCGAAACGTAGAAGTTCACCCAGTGCAGTCCTGTTTAATCCATGTGCACCTTAAAGGCACAGTCCGCTGCCGTGGGTGTTGGACTTGGGAAACAAAAGGCATGTGGGAGTCTAATAACCATGAAGAAAAAAAGCAAGAGAAGTCGGCGAAAACATCGTGAGACCCTAATTCGCAGTGCAAGCGCTAGACTGGGCAGTATTCTCCAGTGTACTCCAATATTTCATTTCCAAACTGTTTATTCTCTGGTGTTATGATTATCAATCACTGTCCGAAAGTATCCACGCCATGCTCCATAACGCTTGGCAACTAGTGGATCCCCCCCCCCCCCTTATAAAAGCGTCGGGACTTGCTATCGAAGAGCAGCTGACGTCCTTTTAAGCCTATCTTTAACAACAAAGTGGTCACCTAGATTACGAGCGAAAACCGAAAGGAGTGGTAAACCGACAGGGCAGGGTCAGGACTTTACGGTACAGTCGCGATCCCGGAAAACAATTGAGCTCAGGGCGCTTGAAGCGCAGCCGGAGCAAATTTTGCACCAATTGTAGCAGAATCCCGGTGACGTCATGTTGGGATGAAGCCGTCCTAGCTTATCATTCACATCGCGTCAAATGCCAATCATTAGTGTTCGTTTGTGTGTGGTGTGGTGTTGTGTGTGTGTCTGTCTGCCTGTTTGTTTGTTTGTTTTTCACGAAATTCTTAGCACCTAAAAGAATCAGGAGTCGGGTCATGGTGGGGATGAGTAGGGCGTGGAATAACAGGATTAGCACACGTGACCCATGGTAAGCCTCGCCCACAGTGGGCGTGCGCCGAAAGTTAGCGATGTCAATGAAAACAACATAACTCGTTTCCAGAGCAGTCCCGAGATGCGAGAACAGTGCAGTGAAGTTAACAAGGGCTGGCAGACCAAATAGAGGGGAGACACACCTGAGATGGGCGGGGCATACTTGATGTGGGTGGCGCTTTCCGTGTCACTGAAAATACCATACTTCGGTTACAAAGCAGGCTCGGAGACGGGGAAAAAGTGGAATAAGGTTAGCATTGGGTTGGCAGAGCAAATGGAGGAAACACACCCGAAATGGGCGGGGCGTGCTTGAGATGGGCGGTGCTTCCCACAAAGGTCGGTAACTCGGTTCCCGAAAATGTTTAGAGATCGCAGAAAAGCCCATGACGAAGATGAACATCTGGCAAGAGTCCACCATGCGGCGAGGTGGGCAGAGCCAGTTTTAAAAACTGCTGAAGCGGTTCCAGAGCACCAAAGCACGCCAGAGACCGGGAAGAAGTGGATTAAGATTGCCGTGGGTTACCGGTTCACAAGTGTGAGGCATACCCGTTGTGGGCGGAGCAGGCGGCGAGGTGAGCAGAGCCGGTATTAACAGTTCCTAAAATGTTTCCAGAGCACTCCAGACCCCCCCCCCTCTCTAGGATACGGCCCGGCCTTGGGGCGTGGCTCCATCGTGCCTACCTACTTTCGTATAATCAAATGCTCGACCTACCTGGCTTTTCTCTCATCTGTTCAATTGAACAACGCTCCTTACCACCATTCCATACAAATAGTGTTGAAAATAGCAGGTATGATGCTTTTGGCAAAGAAGTGGCCATCTGAACTGTTGGCCACCCTACGGCGAAAAGACATTGAGCGTGCAAAACAGGAACAGGTGGTGAAGATGAAGCTCGTGAAATTGAATGTAATGGTGGAAGTTGACCTCCGTGGGCGAAGCCTGATCTTCGAAGCAGACCTGTCGCGGCCACTTCGAGCGGCTACACTGTAACTGCGGTTCGGGCTACATTTCGCAGATTAGCGATCCTACATGCCGGCAGTTGCGGACAGTGTCTTAAAAATGTTGTAGAATACTTGTTCTGTAAGGAGAAAAGGGTCAGTGAAACTTACTTTTGTAATGTACTGCTTATAACGGCTTGTTGAACTTCAACGATGTCCTTTCACTAAGGTGACCGCTTTGAAAACTCCTTGTCACACAAAAGGACACATCTGCTATTACGTCACACATCCAGACAGTGACAACCGCATCGTTCTGACTGGAGATACGCTATTCATAGCCGGTTGTGGGAAGTTCTTCGAAGGTGAGCATTGATTCTTTCTCCTTTAAATACAGGCAGCGATTCTGGTTAGAGGCTGAGCCTGCATTCAAATTTGATGAGTTATGCGGCTCAAATACTTATAACAAGGTAGCAAGTAACCCCTTAGTGAAGAAAAATCAGAAAGAAATCATAGGAAAGGCTCTATATAGAACCCCTTGCTTAATTGAGGTTGTACGTGCTCAAGGCGAAGAGAAGGTGCGGTCGCACGAGTTCTCACTTGTTGATATCAGCTGTTTTCCCTTATTACCTCACCAGTCGGATCGCACGGCTCACGCCGTGCTCTCCTCCTTCTCTTGAGCTCGGCTTCGCCGAGCTGGCCTGGCTTCGCCAGGCGGCTCCATAATTTTAACGGAACTTTTTCGGTAGTGGGCTGCTCATAAGGCGCTGTAGTGATCGAATCGTAACAGACAGAGCAAGGCTTACGATCCCGCACAACTCAGCACGCGCTTCTATTTACAGCGGCGGTGTGCACGTCCTGCCACTGTTGAGAATTTCTCCGAAAAACTCGACCACCCCCCTCAGTCCTTATTCCCTTCTCTGACTTGACCCCCCTTTCTCCCCATCCATCTAGCTCTTCCTAAATTTTCCCAACTTCTACAACTATTTCCAGTATTTCCGATATTTCCCGAAAATTTCAAAAATTTTCCAGTTTTCCCCCGAAGTTTTGTCGAAGAACGGGAGTGGGGTAGGGTTGTTGGTTTCAGCTTATCAGTGAGCAGTGTGTCATAGAAGGCCACCACCACACTGGGGGGGTACAGCCACATGTAACGAAAAACAAAACCACAATAAGTCAACAACCGTGGGAAAAATGTTCCTAAACGGCCGCAAAGTCTGTCAAGGCCAAGCTAGACCCTTCCCCCTCTCCCAACAACGAGCAAATGCGATCCTCCACCTCCGTGAAACAAGAAAACCAACTATCAAAAAAAATCCTCTTGGACCAAATACGGCTCCCCTCCCCCCCCCCCCCCCTCGAAACAGCGACGAAATGCGACTTCAGCTGGAGATTCCCCATCGTACGACTTGGTCTGATTGTGGGGACCAGCCGATGTATAATCCAGTGCTATATTTTTCTAGATAGGTCTGGTGCCAACTAGCTGACCTTGGTGTGGTGGAGGATCCGAGAATTTCGTAGTTCTTCACCGAAGTCATTTATCTGAAAGTCCGAACATCATTGCGGAATCCAACGTTACATAAAATCCAGACTCGAGTTTTAAGTTCCTGTCATTTCGAAGGGGCCTTTTTAATGCGGAGCACCCTTGCTTAGAGTTCGTCCTGTTTCAAAAAAAATGGAATTCACACTCCACCAGCACGTCCGACTACTGCGAGAGCAGTCTTAAATATCGTTCGCGGTGGAAGGGTCACTGCAGGCAGCAAGGCTCAGTTTCTACCCCAAAGTTGCACGCGATACGGAGCTGAAAGGCGTTGGCGATGCGGGTCGCGTACTCCTGACTCTCCTTCTGCTGCCGCTCCTTAAGTTTGTGGAATTTTGCGCCTGTAGCCCGAAAATCCGACAGTCTCTGTAGCAGTAGCATTGCAGAGGTAGAGTACAACCACAAGGGGGGGGGGAGAGGTGCAGACAAGTTAGCGTGTTTGAGTTATGAATTATGACGGTGGTTCTGCCTGCAGGACGGACGGAGTATGGCGAAAAAAGATTCCTAGTGTTCACTTACCCTCGAAGCGTTCCGTTACCGTGGACTATGGCACACATCTGGCAACTGGCCGATCGCATTACGCTGGCGCGCATGGAGAAATCGAATATCCCTCGAAAGAAAGTTAGAGATTTTAGGGACTGACCTCCGAAATTAGCATTCGAGCAACCTGATGAAGTACTTGCCAGCCTGCCAGATGACACGCTTGTTTATCCAGGACATGAGTACACCTACAGTAACCTGAAATTTGCTCATCACATCGAGCCAAGCAATGAGGTGAGATCTGCTGCTTAAGGTGATCATAGGAAAAGCTATGACTTTTGCTTTTTCGTCAAGTTTTTCCTGTTTCAGTACATTAGTCTTACAGAACGTGAAGAGCAAGCTGGAGTGGCATCGCGTTGCCGTGAGCGTAATGAACCAACAGTCCCCTCAACTATTGCTGAAGAAAAGGAGATAAATCCATTCATGAGAACTACTTCTGCAGAGATTCAGAAGAACGTCGGCGCTACCGATCTAATCGAAGTAATGGCCCGTGTGCGACAGGCCAAAAACAGTTTCAGGGGTTGAAGATCTCCCATTTTGATATTTTGTCCAAATGCTGTCCAACCGGTGTATCATGCATGTTTCACTGATGCTACCCTATATACTTATTTAGATAAAATGCTTAGTACATCATATTGTTTTTGGATTAAACGTTATGTCGTTACCAATACATACACAATACGTGGTCATAACAATTACCACACTAATTGTAAGTTCCTGTTAAATATGCTGTACTACCAGGAACATGAGCGATTCGGATGATCTGAAGGATGATCTCAGTGTAGCTCAAGGGGCCGTGCTAGTGAAGTCGTGTGAGGTATTTCCAGAGTTTTGTTGCATTTATAACCCTTTGTTTCTCAAATATGTGTCTTCTCTGTAACGTTCTAGAAGGGTAGAAGGTTTTGTGGGAGTGGGTAATGGCAAAAGGCTCCGCTGATGCTCGACTATCTGAGGACCGAATGCAGGATCGGCTTACGCTCAAGTCTACCAAACTTCCCATTTCTCCAGGGCCAATGAATTGGCAGTTATCTCGTCTGGTAGAATGGAACACCGACCTTATCGTGACTCATCACGATGTTCGAAGAAGGGGCGGTACGGAGAGCAGGCGAGCGCTCAGCTTCAGCTTCGACCGTCGGCAACGAGCGAACGAACAAACGAACAAGACAGACGCAATAGAGGGGTCAACTGAACTATACTATCTTTGTAAGGTGATGTAACGATAAACATAAGTCAGCTAACGTTGTACTATACCGATGCTACAAAATGAAGGTCT